ACGTTTGCGCAGCTATTATTTAATAATACGAGTAATAAAAAAACCCGGACCGCTTCAAAAACCCGCCCGGACGCCCCCGGACGTCTTCAAAACTAGGACAAATCCGGGGAAATCCGGACGGATGGCAGCCCTATCCGGCGTATATAAATATAATCAGAGACACGTTTCTGTTGTCTCCTCTGAATATTACAGAGTGCTATAAAATACTGTGGACCAGTGCCGCTCGTATATCTCACAGCTCATAAATAATTCATAAAAAATATATCTAAATCGAGGAATTACATAATTGTAAATTCAACAGCAATTTTCTCTTCAACATGGCAAAATTGTAAATTGCGTAAGCTAAAATTGCTCGATTTATGATCTACTTACTGCGACAGTCGCGTATTTCAGAACGAATGGCACAAACGTGTACAAAAATTTAGAATAATATAGACAATCGTATATCACATTTATAAATTCAATAGCAATTGTAAAAAGTACGAGCACAATTATTTCTTGCAAGCCGACTAAATGACATGCAATGCAAGTAATATATGTAAATGCACATACAAGAATGAATAGTCCAAATGATGTTTGTATGAAAGTATAACAAACATCCGTCTATTATGAACTATATGTATATGCTATCCAGGCAAGTTTCAAAATCTGCGAAACTTATAAATATATATATATATATATATATATGTTCGCGATCATAATTAAAAAATCTGAGTTTTTATAAATCCGGCAGAAAACAACGTCGGGATTATATTTTTTACCGCGTGAAAATACGTGGGAAATGCAAGAGGTGTTTTCCGCGTAAAATTTCCACGTTGTAAGTGCAACGACGAAAATACTCGATGCTCCGAATATTTTTAACTCGGCGCTCGTGAGAACCTGTCAAACACGAATTACACGAAACGTGTATCAGACACGAGCGTAATTTCATCCAAAGTTTTGTATCCAAATCTAATCAATTTAACATTCTCATTAATATTCCGGGATACCGCGCCGCTATAAGGAATTTCCCGCGCGAACGGGCGAGCAGGCCGCGTCACGTGACCAGGCTGGCAAACTGCCGATTAGTTCACGTCGTGCATCGTCGCGTCGCGCTACGCGGATCGCGATCGCTCCGTATTTTCGCGTGTCTCTTTAACCGGTCTCCTTAACTCCGAGGGGATTTCGCGTAAGAACGAGCGTCGGGAGTGCCGAGTCCTTCGAACGATCGTTTCCGGGTGTCGATCGGTACGTGCGAGCGATCGCGAGTGGCCCGAGTCGTTTCAATAATATTCGCGATCGCCGTCCGTCATGGCCGTCAATTTCGCGTCTCGGCGTCGGTCGAAAAACATCGCGTTCTCTTGATGCACGGCATTTTCGTGTGTTCCGTGCACGGGACGGGTGTCGGGTGTCCTTGATGTCCGAAGTGCCTTTCAGCACCCGGGACATCAAGGAGCGTCGAAAGGGAGCGTCGTGGGATCGCCGCGAGGAATTCGTCGAGACCAGAGTGATTCCGCTTGGCTGCGATATTCGCGTTACGGTAGCACATGTCCGTCACATTAATCACCGGAGACGCGTGATACCTTGCAAGATTTTCATGTCGACAAATGACGTCGGAAGCCGGCCTAAGGATTCCCATTGTTTTAATCGGTGATAACCGGTAACTTATCAAATACATAATTTGTATGCCATCTTATTGACATAAATAGAATTATCATTTTTTTGTTTTAAATTTTTTGTTTAACGTAGACAAAAAATTGTAGGACGAGACGACGAGTGTATAGTTAAAAATTTTGTTTTACGCTGTTTCTGACTAAAATTGATAAAATTATTCGCTGATACAAATTTGTCAATTAATATCCGTATTATTCTGTCAACATGAAAAATTATTAATTTTTTATTAACGTATAGAAAAAGACATTAGATTACGAACATGTAATTGAAATTTTACTATAAGCAATTCTATCGACTAATTTATTTAGTGATCAACTTGTCAAGTAACAGCTGTATTATGATATTAATATAGAATTATTAATTCTTCGTTGTCTAATACGTAGAACAAAAATGTAGATCAGGTATAACGAATTATACAGTTAGAAATTTTTTGCCTTCTGTTTCAGTTGAATTAATCACCGATCAGATTAATCGGAGTTTCGTCGAAATCGGTGAATGCCGGATGAATCTACAGTTCAATTGATGCGCACGAATCGCGATCTGATACATCTTTCTACATCCGTGATTGACGTCGATCGACGAGAAATTCGTTTACGAATTTGCGCGCTTCGCGAATGTGTCCGCGAGTACGTGTGTTGGAGTACATCAAAGGATCGTGGCGGTGGATTATACAGAGGCGAAACATTTCGGGTCTACAACATGTCGCCTGCAACATCGGATGACAGTGAGTGCTCCGTCGCTTTTTTTTTTGTATGTTATTAAATTATTTGCAGAATATTTCCGCCGCGCGGGATAAAAAGTTTGCTTAATAACGGACGGCCCTTTCTTTTTGCCTACCTACAATATCCCTACAGTTAATGTAAATAACAGAACTGCTCTAGATATTTATCTGGTGTAAAAAGAAAATGTGCTAAAACTTTTGACGGGTTGTCGCGTTATATAATATTTATAAAGTGCTATGTATATATATCTCGAATAACGTAATTGACGATTAATGTGTCCGCCTGATATTTGCTCCGCTGGAGCGGCTGGAGGCAATCTTCGCTGAAGGCATGAGACAGATAAATTAATTAATTGAAAGCAAGAAAATACATTTAACTGTTACATTCTTTCTCAGTTATTATTGAAATAATAATAGGTTTCGAATACGTATTTTACGTAACGAGAAATCGAGGAATGATTGAAAGTCACACTACTGCGATGCAACTGCGAAATTAAATGTCAAAATGCGAGCTAAACTGTTGTACCATTTTGCTATAAAATTTGCTAATATTAAATCGCGTTGGTGCACTGGTGAACTACTCCTCGAAACTGCGAAGCAAATTTTACGAGG